ATAGATAGATAGATAGATAGATAGATAGATAGATAGATAGATCTGAACAAAGTGACTTCTTTGGGTTAGATTGTTTATTTCTGCTGTATTCCTCCTCTCCCACCAGCTGCTGTACTTTGTCCTGTGCACCATCGGCCTGGTCATCTCATTGCTGGTTGTGGCGTTTGCTGGACACCACCATTCCCAGGCCAGCAGCTTCAACTGCCAAAATGCGGGAGTGGACTGTGTGTGTGTGCTGGATCAAAGTGACCCGATAGCCCGCACCTTTAACTACCAAGGGGCCGGCGATTGCGAGGCGATCACCAGCACACTGACCTTTTACTTCCTGCTCCAGATCCTGCTGAACCTCGCCCAGGCGCTGGTCTGTGCCACCGGAGCCTTCATCATGTGGAAGGATCGCTACCAAGTCTTCTTTGCCGGGATACAGATCCGATCTCCCTCCACCCAGCAGTGGCAAAAAGTTTAACCCACTGAGAATGACTATAGTCAGTCAGAGTAAAACAAGAACCCTGATTTCTATAGTGTTAGACTCTCCAGAACAGGGACTTTTTTGTGTGTGCCTTAGTGTGTACCTCCTTTAAAAACTCTTTTACAGACAGGTGGCAAATTAGAGGAATAATGCTGAAATGTGATGCTGCCTCTGAACAGTGTGCAGGACCTTAAAAGTAAGAAAACCAGGATATTTTATACACCTACTCCTCATTGCAGCAAAAAATCTATTAAGTATTCGCAGCCAACAGGGGATATGGTGTCACCTCAGCTGGTTGAGGTTACATTAATATCAGAGTTTCAGTGTTGTCTTCTACCACACATTGATTTAGGTGGTAATGAAAGTAAAGTAAGATGACAAACATCGAGGTTTAAATAAAACACGTTATTATCCAACCAAGAGGAAGTTTAATCTTTAGAGGAACCTTCCTTCCTAAAGGGATGTTTGCTGGGATTGTTTTTTTTTTATTCCTGCAAAAGTTCATCTAATAGTTTCAGTAGAGATCATTATTATTAAGTTGAAAAAACAAAACAAAAAAAAAACAACAACAAAAAAACATCATTGAATTGTATGCTTCTATGGACAGAGGCCGCTATCCTGGAGGACACGTCTCACTCCCTAACAAAGTATTGCATCACCAGATCAAGTTGATTAACCAGAACGGTTTCGTTCTGAGCTATGCGGCCATCTCCTGATTTTCTCACTTTATGATAACATTTTCCTTTAATTTGTCATGCATCTGTAGTTAAGAGATATTGTGGTGCTAGCGTTTCACACAAAACTTTATACTTGCAGTTTCCATTGTTGCCAAGTGTGGATATTATGCATCCAAACACAAAATATATATATATATTTTAAATATTGTACATTACTTTTGCTTTGTTTCTAAATATTTTTGATATATTCCTGCTATGTGCACAGAATACAATCCCAGACACATACCAGAAAGCAGTATTTGTTTTTTGTTTTTTTTTAGCTGAAAATACTGAAATTGTGCACAATTTCTATGGATTCTTTGTAACTGGGATTTACTTATCACAATTAGTTGCCTCAGTGATCCTTTTGCTCTGTACCTTTTTATTTTCTATAAAAGTGATGGTTTAATGCATACAATCTGATTCTGCTTTAGTATCGCAACTGATATTTTTATTTATACCTGCAGCACTTTGGGCGCCTTGTTTGTTAAAGTGCTTCATAAATAAACATTGACTGACTGATTCTTTGGTGCCAGCATGAGCTGGGTTTAGAGTTTACCTTTTGCAAAGTTATAATTTTTAAACTATATTTTTACAAGCTTTAAAATAGGATACTCCCATAGTGAAATGGTAAAATAAAGCATTATCAAAGTTCCATTGTTCCTACTTGAATTCATCTATGTTTAACTCAGATACTTGTCTAATTAGTTGATTGGTCAATAACTACATTTTGTTTTTCCTGTTTGTTCATAGTGAAACATGAAAATCACTATGATCATTGTTTCACTATATTTTCATAGTGAAACAACTATTTATCAAAGAGGGGATAACTTTTTTACAATAGGCAAGGACAGTTGGGATATATATATTTTAAGTAATTGAAATAACATTAAAATCTGACTTTTTAATCAATTCAGCTTTGTTAGCTTTACAATAGGCAAGGACAGTTGGGATATATATATATATATATATATATTTTAAGTAATTGAAATAACATTAAAATCTGACTTTTTAATCAATTCAGCTTTGTTAGCTTAACAAAAATCAGTTTGATTATTTCAAACACAAGAGTAAAAAAATCATTACTTAAAAAAAGCAACCAAAACAAAACAAAAACAGAGATGGGAAAGGGTCTACTATGTACTGTTTCCTTTTGAACAGTTTGTAGGTTGAAAAGCTTGTCATGAGTCCTGTAACAGTCTAGGCAGATATCACCTCATTAGACTGGAAGCAGAACCAAACTGAGCTCATAGTGGAGAAGGATGCAGTGCCAGTCACCAGCATGACTCTGGGGAATCAGACAGGCAGCTGGAGAGACATAACATCCTCTTTTTTTTTTAAATGTGTGTTCATTTACACATGGCAAAGCCAAAAGGAGAAAAAAAAAAGGGAAAACAAAAAAATATATACATTAGCCTAAATTGTTTTTATCTATCAGAATTGTGACTCTAATGAACAGCAGAAAATCGACACATGCAGGCCTATAATTTTTAAATTTTATGCTGACATTCTTTATAGAGGATAGATGTTATGTTTCTTTCTGGGGAAAATAAGAAGAAGCCCACTGAATGGGAAATTGTTGACCGGGCAGCCATGCTGGAGGAAGAGCTCTGCAGACATAGATTCTTTACTCAAACAAGACCAAACTGAACTTATCTGACCTACATGCAAAACCCCAATGAGAGAGGGAAAATATACATCACTAAACAAGTTGAAAGCAGCCTTTTCTTCTTGATGAATCTTGGTGGCAGCATTCTGTTATCGGATGTTTTTCATTACAATGGACAGAAACTTGTCAGAAATCAGGAGAGAATGGATAGGGCTAAAAACAGGGAAATCCTGGAAGAAAATTTGTTAGAGGTTGTAAATGATTCAAGACTGGGAGAGAAGTTTCCTTTCTAGCAGGATAGGGACCTTAAACACATCGCCAGAGCTATGGTGGAAAGGTGCAAGGGTGCCATGGTTCATAGGGACAAATTATCTATTTTTGTTTAGATGTTTTTTAAAAGTATGAGCTCACATTGCACCAGAAGAAAGAGCCTGTCCAAGCCCAGACTATTTTGTTTTCACGTGCTTATTTTGTGCTGTGATGTAAATGGGTCATGTGACTGCAAGGCTCAAAGTTTACAGCCAGATGCTGGAAATCACATGCCAGTCATCATGGGGGCAAGTTTATTTATAAACCTGACAGATGAAGCTGACTGTCGCCGAGCCTTCTGTGTGTTAGTATCGCCTTAAGGTGTGGTCAGCTGAAACAACAACAAAAAAATGATAACACAATAAAACAGTTAGTATTTCCAGTCCTGTTAAAAAGTTGTGACCCCACTACAGATTTTATATCAATTATATGAGTAAAAATATTGAGAATCACCTAAATTACACCTTTGAAATGGGTCAGAATATTTTAGATTATCTCCTGATCTAAAGAAATAATTTAAAAAAATGAATGCGAAACAAATGTATTGATGTTCAGACAACAGTCTGGAAATGTTTATTAGATCATTTCTAGGATTTTGGAGACATGAGTACTCAAACTGAGAATCACTATAAACGAATGGGGAAAACAGCACAGTGGTAAACCCTTTAAGGAGTGGCTGGCCAACCAATATTATTTGAGTCGCACACCCATGATTTATCCAGGAGCTTCCAAATCATTCTGAAACATCTAAAGCTCTGAGACTTCACCGGCAGTTCGGTGTTCCTCAACAATAAGAAAGAAGATGAATAAAGATGCCATTCATAGGATAATATTAAAGCCCAAAACTCTGCTGAACAAAATGGACCATTTCACAAACAAACCAAACATGTGTTTTTTTTACATGAAAATTCCCTGCAGAACATGCATTGGTCAGGGTGTTATTGGTGAGAGGTCTGAATCTCCAACTGCCTGCAGCCACAGAGGTGCTTGTTATCTTGTGTTTGTTCACCCTCTCTAGCTGTTTTCCCTCTCTCTCTACTGAATACACAAAGGCAAAGCATGTGATTTATCCCTGCGGTTTGAGTGGAAAGATGTTAAAAACAATCCTAAAGTAGGTCCACACTGAGAGGGTAAAATTTAAAGTAAAAAAGGAAATTAGTCAAATTGAGCTGTGTAGTTTGAAGAGCCACTCAGACTGACAGAACTATCTCAACATGGCAAATATAAAAACCTCTGCCTGACAGTAATGATGGTTTCAATATTACTCTCTTCCTCCCTCTGTAACTGCAACACATTCCAGTAATGCTGCACTTTACCCCTCATGTCTACGCAGTGACAGCTGCTCACCATTATGGCACTGCATGAACTAATTTTAATGGCTGTCACCGGCAGCAGGAGTGAAAGCAGGCCTGCCAGCGTAAACAACAAACCCGGAGCCAAAGACGGATGGTCCTCTCAGCGGAGGGTAAATGACGGGACGGGAGGAAACACTAGTTTGCGCCCTGTGATTCGTTTATCAGCTAAAACAGGGAAGCGGAGTGTGGGCATGCAGCAGATCAGGCAGCGTCATAACTCCAGTTCTGCCCCCTTCCAAAACAGTTCAGCTCTTCTGATGAGCTCCATCTCCATGAGTTCTTTAACAAAACTTTTATTTGCAGTTTTCTTCAAGTGTCTGTTTGCAAAGCAATGTTTCAAGTGTTATATATTGTAAAAAGGGTTTTATATGGGAAGATTAAAAACAATTTGTCTCATTTTCATTACTTAAAGGTTTTGAGACGTGCTTCAAATGTTTTAATATTAGCACAAAGGTCTTATTAACTTAAGTTCTTAAACTCTCTGAAGGTCTAACAAAGATCTTAATTTGATTTTGAGCATTTTTTCCTCCACCATCTAACCCAGGCATGCCCAAAGTCAGTTCTTAACAGCCGTTGTGCTGCATTTTTTAAAGATTTATCTGCTTTAGCACAGCTGATTCTGATGATTGCAGTTCAGCAAAAGCCTTTTAATCAGCAATCAATGAGAATCAGCTGTGCTGTAACAGGAAACATCTAGAACTTGCAGGACACCGGCCCTCAAGGACTGACTTTGGGCATGCCTTATCTGACCCTTTACAGAAGCATGTCATTGTCTGTTATACGACTATAAATCCAAATGCTATAGTTATAACTCTCAAAAACTAATTTGAGACTGAAAAAATGTCTACAGACTCCTTCTTCCAATCTAACTGTGCTTAAGCAATGTTGCAACAAATAAAGGGCGAAACACTGAGTCTTCAGATGAAAAAGCTTGCAGTTGTGTTTGCAGTGAATAGTTCCGCAAATCATTGACTCAGTGTTGGCTGAGTTTTCAGTATAACATTTGAAATAAATAGTTTTTTCCACTTTGTGTTGGTCCATCAAACACGTAAATTAAAAAACTGTATGGATTTCAGCTGCTTGTTGGATAGCACTAAACCTGAACATGCATATCAAATGTATTAAGAAGAAACTATAATAAAGGTTTTTTTGGACTATGTAAAGCAAAACTTGCATTTATCAGAATGTGGTTCCAATTCTGTACTGTTCCTTAGTTTTACCATACATCAGTTATTGTGCAGGGGTTTAGGGTAACAATTATGAAACTACATTACAGTTATTAATAAATATAAAAAAAAAACAATAAATGTAATCCCCTATGCTGAATAACCTGGCTCACATAAATGTACCATTAAAT